AGGAGAATTACTGAAATTGTTGTATTGTATTAAACAGCTCTCTAACCAAAATATTCTGTGATATGAGCCTACTATTTTTAAAGCAGTAACAGAAACCACCAGCCTGCAGTGTTGACATATTTGCTGCCTCTTAGACTTTATTCCCCAGGAGTCTACATTGCAATAAATTTTTATTTTGGGAGGTGTTCAGTACAAATTCCACCTTGTGCTTTTTGAGGACAAACCATGCTCAGCCAAAGAGCCTGGCTGATGCCTCCTTTGACTATGTACAGCTTTGGAGTACTGGTCTCTCATGTGACCATACATTACTTACTTTCCTGGAAACACGATCATGTCTCCTATAATTCTTATTTCTGTTACAAGACCAAGCCTAAAGTGGCCTAAGGTGAAGTTTCCATTGTGCTGAACTTGTAAAATGCTTCCTATTATAGAAAAAGTCTACATTTTCAGTACATATGTGCAAAGATATTGTCCTTATGGAGGGAAAAGCTTCTGATTAATTTTTTAACAGCGTAGACCTTAGGAAGTTTCTGCATGGCTGGCCAACCAGCCAGCCTGCTCCTTCTTCCTTGACTAGCCTAGGAAAAAAAGGGAAATTCCCTTGCATGAAGTAAGGCAGTCAACTGATCCTCTGGCAAAAAACAGAGGACAAACATTTACCAGTGAATTTCCACACCAGAATGGGGAATGAGTATTTTCCACAGAATACACAAAGGAAATCTCAATGTATTACACCTGTGCAGAACTGAAAACTGCTCCTTTTTTGTGTATGAGTTCTGCAGTATACTCTTGCCTTTATTTGCCTACATCAATATTAAATGTAATCACAGAAAAGAGATGAGGTAGCTTAACAACCAGTAAACAACTCTAAAGTGTGTGGACATACAGTCATCTCTTTTAATTATGTCTGGTTTTATTACTTTCCTCAATGTGCTTGCCAAATAATCTAAATAACTACATTCTGAAAGAAACAGTAAATGTCATCCGCAAAGTGACCAAAATAACTACATAGATTAAATTTACCTGGGAATAATTTTGAAATCAAAATGGAAGTATTTGAGATGAAAAGAAATATATAAATGCAGAATTTTGCAAACTTAAAAGATTAATTCTTTTTCTTCACTGATTCATTTTTACATAAACACCTAAACATGTTTTAGGATATAGACTGACATGCAAAATTTTTTGTTAAACTAATTTATACTTTTTAATTAGACCTTTGGTTCTTTTTTTGTCAAAGTACAAATTTTGTGTTCAAATGTAAGCAGGAGGCATAGAGGAGTTTAGGGATCACTATCAGGAGCAGCTGTTTGTGACTGCAAGGTGAAACCACAGGGGAATGCATAGGTTATCATACTAGAAGTATAACACAAAGATAGTGCTGTAGTGAGCACCATCTTATTATGCAAGTCCAGAATTCTTAAGCTATTTGCATGAGAAATTAACATAATTTATATTTTGAAAGCAAGCCCATATGTATTTAATCTCCTCTTCTATCAGCTCCTGCTTCCTTCATCAAGGCAACTTGGCAAGCAAACCAGAGACAAATGGATTTCCACATGACCTACTTTATCTGGCAAGATATATAAATAGTCTACTCCAGAATTTTGAAGAACCCATTTAAACACTTTGGAACGCACTTGTGGAAGAACACAAGGTCAGTGGAGGAGTCAAGGCATCTTGCACATGCTTCCTGAGCTGGGAGGCAGCACCAGCACCGTGACCACATGTGTGTAGTCGTCACATTCCATATGACCATGGCATCACCTCGCTGGTTAAAGTGCACTTTATTGAGCATTGTGTGTGCTGCAGCTTGGTCACAATGTCCAGTCACAGCACAGGGACTGTTTCAGATGGCAATGTGGGATCCAGGAATGGCAACATTCCTAACATTCCCAATCCTGTAGCAGGATTTGGCACTGTAAGAAGAGAGGATGGATACCTCCAGAGCTTCCTCCTCGAGCTGCTCTGCTGGCCACATCCTCTTCTTCAAAACCAACAGCTGTCATTGCAACATCCTTGTTAAAAACAGGCAAAATAACCTTTCCTCCAAGAAAAAAATCCTCTTCCCTTCTCTCTTCTTCCTCAAAGGCCCTACACTCAAATACCAAAGATCTCTGTAATGCAAATAATTGAGCTTGAAACACCTTTATCTTCCAGGCTTCCCAAGGAACAGCACAGAAATAACCTGAGGGAACAAAGTGAGGGGAGAGGGTGGTCATGTCCTGACGTGGGGTTACAGTCCTTCAAGCCCTGAAGGGAGTTTTATTCTTCCAAGCACAAGCTGTATTGCAGAAGAATTTCAAAATGGGGCATGCTTATATTGTTTTAACTTTCAGGACAGAAGTATAGCTCAGTTATTCTCGACAGAATCCTTGTGACTTTTATCCTTAAATTCAGGAAATTATGTCCTAGCCTAAGCTGGCTGAGTGTAAAAATTTTTCTACATGGAGGAACTGACTAGTGTAATTATTTCACCACTCTCTTCATAGACAGTTTTACAGTTATAAATATGCAGGTGTTAAGAGTCAGACCTAAATATTGTGCTCTTCATGTATTTCATTAGCCTTGTTTCAGTTTACCCTAATACAGGTTATCTAAATTATGAACTGTGGAACACTGCTGGATATGCACAGAAATCCACAAAATTAATATTCTTGGATTTTCTAGCTGTTCACTAACTTGGAAAGAGAGGTACAGCTCTGTGCAGCCTTCTCCTGAGATGGTAAGTGAAGGCATTGGTGGGACTGTGGATGCGTAGCTCAAATGGCTGAGAGCAGAAAAGAAAATCCACTGCCATGACTAGGAAAGGAGCAGTCCATGAGACAACATCTTAACATTTAGAAATTGTGCTTTGCTGTATTGTTTTCTTCAATTCCACAATGCAATAAAAACATTTTATGTCCAGTCATGAGGCTTGTGACTAGGCTCAGCAACTAAGTACAGTCTAAAAGGCAAGCTTTGTTGTTTACTATTCATCACTGTGACATTAACTCTTTTTCCCTAGTGTATGTTTTATCGTTACATGACAGGGATTAAACCCCCTCACAAAACTGATAAACAAATACATGAAAACTTAAGCTGGAGTCCAGGCTGACACTGGTTTCTGCGTGTTTTAGAACACAAATGTAATGTTTTGAAATTTGACCTCAGGGACAATCTTGTGTCTCTGGACCAGCTAACTTGTTTGCTTGGTGCCTCCATGGAGACTGCTTAACCCAAAACAAGCTTTCTTTGATTTGCCCTCAAAGCATGGGTTAATTAATGGGATTCAAATGAACCATTGGATCACGTCACAATGCCCCAGTGCCAATGGCATTTTTAGTTAGTTCACATTGGCTCCACATGTTCTAAATACTGAATCGTCTCCAGTGTTCCAAAGGATACTGGAAAATTTTGTGGTCTTATCTAGCACTTGAATAATGTCAAATGTTGAGATTATTAAACAATGGTATTAGTGGTTTAAACAAAAAACTTGCACTGAAACCCAGTTTGTAATCTAAACCTAAGAGTACAATTTTAGTTCATGTTTACTAACCAAATCACTTTTTTATTGTTTCCACCAGCCCCGCTGAGGAAGCTGAAATGATGGTGTGCAGAAATTCATGCAAGGATGGTTTGAATGCTCAGATTTATGTGCTTTGAAAATTGCTAAAGGCTGACATTCATATCTTTTCTTATTTCAAATGCTTTTGGCAAAATATCTTATTTTATGATCTTTCTTGTAGTGCTTAGTAATGCTTCATAATGTCATAATTATCATGACAAGATTTATGTTGGAATTGATGCACAGATTTTAACACCTCAGCCTTTCTCCTTTATTTTTTCCTGTTATTTCTTTGAATGCTCCTATATGCTACAACCACTGCTTTGTAACTTTTAAATACACTTATACCTAGATGAAATGTAGCATCATCGGGCTCCCTTCAGCCAAGGCACACTAGGGGGACTATTTCTCTGCAGTGAAACTTCACTGGGACTAGACAACAAAGCCGCGATCCCATTCCACAACCTGCCATTTAGTAATCTGAAAAAAATTTGTTCAAAAATTATTTTCGTTAAAAGTGTACTATTATTTTTCTTTATTTAATAATATATTATTTATTGATTATATTTATTAATGTATTTGTTATTACTTATTTAACCCTTTTCTGACAGAGTGGAAAAGACAGAGAGCATTCACAGCAGAGCTGGTGAACGACCTGGACAATTAAGGATTTTTTTTTTTTTTTTCCTTTTTTTGTTATGGCAGTTTCAGACTTGCTATGAGAAATTTACTTAGGCCGCGCTATTTTTAATGCAGTTTTAATAGGGATCTTTAGGTTGGGTTTTGTTTCTTTGCTTGCTTGGTGTTTTCATTTGTTTTCCCCGCAGGGACCGAGCCAGTCCCTCGGCCGCGTCCCCTCCGCTCCCGGCCGCGCCGCCGCAGTTCTCGCCGGGTGCCGACTACAGCTCCCAGGATCCCGCTGGAAGCGTCGGCCGGCCGTCCCTCCCTGCCTGCCTCCCTGCTTCCCAGCCCTTGTTGTTTGAAAGGGCTCCGGCGGAATTCCGAGGGGGAGCCGCGGCGCTCGGGGCGGCGCCGGGCGGGGGCAGGCGGGGCGGCACCGCCGCTCGGCGCCGGGAGAAAGGGGGCTCGGGGGGGACGCGGCGCCGTGAATTCCAGGGAAAAGCCTTCCCCCGCTGGCCGGCAGGGAAGCGGACCGGCTCCGGGCCACGGCCCCAGCCTCGGGACAAGACCCCTCCCCGCGGAAGGGAAGGCGAGGAAGGGACGGCAGGCGTGCTGCCGATCCCCTCCTCCCGGCGCAGGGGGAGGAGGAAGAAGGAGCGAGCAGGGAGCCGCGGCGGCCGGCGCTGAGCTCGGAGGGGCGGGCGGGAGGGAGCGAAGCCCCCAGCGGCCCTGCCCAGCGGGAGGGTCCCGGTGGCACGGGGGAGGCGCCACCGGCGCGGGGCGGTGGCTGGATCCTGGATCCTGCCCCGGGACGCCGAAGTTGCGGCGGGGCGGCGGCCGCCCCTGTCGTCTCTCTCGATGTCCGTGTAACTCGGCGGCGGCGAGCAGGAGAAGGCAGGGAGGACCCTCCCGCCTCAGCCCCGCTCGCCGCCCCGCTCCCCTCCGGCGGGCTGTTGTGCGAGAGAGACAGACAGACACACACACCCTGCGCCCCGTCCCGCCCCTCGCCCCGGGAGGCCAGGCCAGGCGCGGTGCTGCCGCCGCCGATCGGGGCTCCCCGCGCCCGCTGCTCGAGGAAGAGAAGGAGCGGGAGGCGGAGGGAGCGCCCCGGCGGGCAGCGGCGCAGCCATGAGCGGCGGGGAGGTGGTCTGCTCGGGCTGGCTCCGAAAGTCCCCGCCGGAGAAGAAGTTGAAACGCTACGTGAGTGCCCTCTCCCACTCGCGGGCCGCCCTCCCCCTTGCTCCCTCCCTTCCTCCCTGCCCCGCTTCTCTCCCGCCGGAATTCCGCGCTCGCCTCCCGCTCCCGCCGGCCCGGCCCGGCCTCCCCGCGCGGTCCCTCCCGGCCGGGCCCGGGCGAGCCGCCCTCCCCTCCGCCTCCCCGTTCCAGCCGGCGCTTCTGCACGCCACGTCCCTGCCGCTTTCCCAGCGCTTTTTCTTTTCTTTTCTTTTCTTTTCTTTTCTTTTCTTTTCTTTTCTTTTCTTTTCTTTTCTTTTCTTTTCTTTTCTTTTCTTTTCTTTTTTCTTTTCTTTTCTCCTTAAAAAAGGAGAGCTGAGCGGTCAGATGTTTCAGCCCAGTTTTTATCGCCTTTCCGAGGGAGTCGGGAGAGGGCGGAGTTTTCCCCCTCTTCCCTCCGAGTCCGACCTCGGTATATATGTATTTTTAAATGTAAACACTTGCCGTCCCGGGGCTGGTGCCCGATCCCAGGGAGGGCGGGGGCTGCCCCGGTTCCGCGCCGCTCCCGGCGGGATTGCACCCCGGGCTGGAGCCGGGGATGCCTCGGAAGCGGTCTGGCTGGGGCGGGGGGAGCTCCGCTCTCGCTCTGCGCACCGGGAAGAAAAAAGAGGAGGCAGTTGTGAGAGAAGCGCCCGTGTCTCTCTCGAAGTTGTTGCCGCTGTTGCTCGGTAGTGGCTGCGCTCGCAGGGGCTCCGGCGGAGCGGACGGGAAAATGGAGCGCGTTTGCTGAGCGGGCAGATTCCATGACAGGGCACAGCGGAGCTGCGGGGCCGCCGGGGAGGCTGTCAGGTCACGTAGGAAGGAAGGATGGGTGATGCCAGGAGTCATCGCTGCTGGCTGAGCCCTTTCCCATTGGCACCCGGCTTGTTTCGCGGCATCTGTGTAATCGGGACAAAATGCTGGGCCTTTTTTTTAAACTCTTTTCTTCCTTCGCCTTCATTCCCTCCCTCCGCCCTCCAGTGTTTATCTTTTTTAAGCAGCTAAAGCTTCAGATTTATTTGAGAATCTGTGAATACAGATCTTAGCGTGACTGTGTTATTTTTGTCTGTTAGCGATTAGCAGTCTCTTCTTGAAGGGACTTTGGGCGGGTTTTTTTAAATGCCAGGAAATCTGTGAAATGAGTCCCTATTTAAATTAATAAACAATATTTGGGGTAGCCCATTCTCTGGTTCCCAATGTCAGAAATCCTCTTTGTGTAAAGGAAAGAGAACATCCTGATGAGACATAGCAGGGTTCTGCTTCCCCGCTGAATGGACTGCTTTTTTGGCCAATTCTCTATGTCTGTGTGTGTATTCACAGGACACCTCTTCACCAGTGTGGAGGAATTAAGAGCAGTATTCATGTTTTTAAAGACTTCTAATAAATTTTCCACTCAAACTCTAAATCCTGTGAAGGGTGCTGTGTGTAAATGGACAGAGTTTGCCCTCCTAAATCAATCTCATTAATCAGTCTCATAATATGCCAACTTTTTTCCATGTAGCTGCCCTTTCAGTGTATTTATAGCTCCATTTCTATACTGGAATTACACAAGAACCTTTGAGGGGAAAACCCCGACTACAGCACTGGTCAAGTGGTTCCCTGTCCTAAAGAGGTAATTCCTTAATTTTCATTTGAAAGGGGGATCTGCTTTTTGAGTAGGCAGACTATCAGGATGATAATACGGCAAGCTTACCTTAGCGTGATTTGGTTCAACATTAGCATGCATTGTAGGCCATAAGATCATAAGTTTAAATCCTACACGTTATTTTTGACTCTTTTCTGCTTGTGTGAAAGAAAGATACCACTTAGAGAAGGGCTTAAAGTAAAATTCCTCCTGTTTGTCTGTAGTGCCTGCTCTGTTGCAGGCTGAAGGCTGACACTCCCTTCAAAGACCTAAAAGTGACCTTGACGTTATGGTAGCCGTCTTGGAGCAAACAATAAGTTGATGTATTTAAGACAATGAACTCCAGCTGAGTGCACTGGCTGGAGAGTTGGCTTGTGCTCCCTGTAATTCTATGCTTAAGTGAAGGCACAGCAGAGAGCTGCCTTTTCCAAAGCCATGTTTTATGGTGGTAGTATTTCAAGGGGCTGCACCAGATCAAAAGATGGGAAAGCGATTTCAACAGGAAACTGCTTTTCTGCAACGCATACTTTTCACAGGTATATATGGAAAATTGTAACTTCGTGCTCTATTAAGTTTTGCATGCAAATGTTGGGGCGAACCCAGGTTACCATCTGGAAATGGAGATAAAAAGTCTGATATTGTTGTTAAATATGGTTTAGTTCCTAGAAAGGGTGAAAAGGAGCACTTTGAAGCTAATATACAGACATAGCTTTCACAGGGACTTTGATTTTTAGTTTGAAACTGTTGGATGAGGTATTAAAGCTAGCTTATACTCATTTCGAGGCTAAAAAAGTAAAAACCCTCCAACCAGCCCTGTCCTGCAGGTGGTATTCCAGATTTCCTTGAGTGTATGCCTTAATGCCATGAATGTCTGTTTCTTCTCTTAGGAGTTCTGTTCTCATGCCTTGTTCATGTGGTTTTGTTACGGAACTAATGTTCTGACAACCATTGGCACCTGCTGTCAGTTCCCTGGAGCTGCTGTTCAGAACAGTTGGAGGTAATAGACTGGTTGTTTCCAGCAGCACATCTCTGAGGAAAGTACAACTAACTTTTAGTGCTGTTGGGAGGTCAAGATGTGGATTTAGCAGAGGAGAAGAAAAAGGGAGTTGGGGATAAATCCTGCACAGCTCTCCACAGCCTGTGCTCTGGTTTCACAAGTACATGAAAGAACTTGTTTGTGCAGAGAGATGGAGGACTGCTAAATTTCACAGCTTCTGCTATTTTCTTATATGGTTTTTTTTCTTCCCTTGTTCCATTGCCTTAAAATTTGCAAACGTTGATGTGATCACTTTAACTTGCTGTGATTTTTCTGTTCTTTTATTTTTAAAAAATGTTGTTGGAAAGCCCCTTTCTCCCCATCTGTCCACTAAAATGTGATAGTAAACCTTAGCTTCGTGGTTTTCTGCTGCATTGCAGTTCTGCTGTATATGTGCCAGTTAAAATAGCTGATGCTTTGTGGTGGCAGCACAGAGGTTTTTTACTACCATTATGCTAGGAAACCACCAGATATGTAGACACATCTGTCCTTGGTAAAGCAAGAAAGAAAAACTTGAAGAAATAAGAGTAAGTCTTAAATTCTCTCCTAGAATAACTATGCTCTTGTCTGGGGTAGGCTAGTACTCAGTAGGACACCTGGATGTGCATTAAATTAGAAAGAATGTTAGCAATGATGGTTGGAAGTCTACTGATGTAGTATAATAATTCCCAGTATTCTGAGGGAATCTCACCAGTGCATATAAATATCTCAAAGTCTGGGGCCAAGAGGTTGATGCCAGACTCTTTTTGGTGGTGCTCAGTGACAGGATGAGGAGCAATGGCCATAAACAAAAAACACAAGAAGTGTCACCTTAACATGAGGAAGAACTTCTTTGCATTGAGGGTGGCAGAGCACTGGAACAGGCTGCCCACGGAGGTTGTGGACTCTCCCTCTCTGGAGACATTCCAGCCCCACCTGGACATGTTCCTGTGTCACCTGCTGCAGGTGACCCTGCCTAGGCAGGGGTTTGGACTGGATGATCTCCACAGGACCCTTCCAGTCCTACCTGTTCTGTCATTCTAATATGTTCTACTTAGAAATAGGTTTTATTAGATAAAAGGTAAAACTCCATCAAACATACTGTGTAGACTAAGCACTTTGGGATAAATTGGTTCCGATTTTCTGTATCTAATAGGCTTCCCCATTCTTCTTACAGTTCAGAAGATGATTTTTGAAAGTAAAGTAAGAAACCTTAATTTTTATGTAAGTGTGGCTAAAAATCCTGTGGTTATTTGACTATTCCTACTGACAGTTCATTTAGCTATTTTAAAGAAATGAGTTTAAAAAAGAGAAATGGCCTTGATCACCCTTGATTTCCCTAGGTTGTAAGAGGCACTGGTATGCTACAATAACATCCTCTTACTTTCTAATCTTTTCAGTTGTAGACAGTGACTAAAGAAATGCCAGATTATTAAAATGCTTAATTGTTATTGATGTTTGCACTAGAGGCTCAGACAGCATAGGTACAGAAGTGGAATATTTTGCTGTTTTTTTGTTTGGTAGTTACTCTTTGCCACTAGTCACATAGGTGCATCTTCTGTTTTTGGTAATAGTTAAACATGCTAAGATATGTAAGGATTTTAAGAAATGTTATATTTATCAGGTTAGTTGTAATTTGGTAAAAGCTGCAGTGCCTGACCAAAGCCCTTTTATCTGGAAGACACCTGTTTGTGTTAGGCTTTTATTTGTGATCTTTCATCAGCATAATGAGCAAATTCATGAAGCTGGTTGGTTTACAGGAAAAAACCAAGCCAAACTAAGATGAGCTTGTCTGACATCATTCAGTGCTGTCCCCATGGAACAGGGTCAAGTTAACTCAAGAGAGATAAGTATTATCAAGAAACATTATGTGACATCTTTTGTATTCTGAACTTGATTGTGCTTGTGCTACTCAAGAAGTTGCTGAAGAACTCACAGAGATTGGTGTTCAGGCAGGAAACCTTCCTTCTGGAAGGAAGTTTAACCCTCCCCTTTTGCTGTGCACTGGTCAGAAAACAGCAGTTCCACTTTTGATCCTTTCAAACATGGGTTAGTAAACCCTAAATGATGAAGTTGAAGGCATGACTAAACACAGTGTTTTTGTGGATTATAAGTTACATTGTTTTGGGTGCCAGTTGAAGATGCTGATACGATCTTGAGTACGACTTTAGGGCTATAGCTACATCCTGAGTGAGCTGTTGGGGTGTAAGGCTCACTTGAGGAGCATGGAATTCATCATACAAGTATTTATCATCTTTGATAGGACATCAGCAGCTGGTGTTGACTTTGCTGCCCAAGCTGCAGCACTCTTAGTGACTGACCTGTGGTGCATGCTCTGAATTAACTCCC